GCTACATTACTATACTGATGGAAAACCTCAAAATGTAGCCCTGCAAATTCATCTGGGTATTTCTAAGGGCCCAGAAGAACTTCATCCCAGAACTACGTTAGCCTGTACTTCTAAGGGACACTGAAGCCTCATAATTTCTATTGAGTTACTGATGTCTCGCAGCCAGAGTCCTCGTCTTGTAAACATTACAGATAGCTCCATGGAAACATATTCAATCTTGAATCACAGAACAGTCCCCAAATTCCAGGTGACATCACTTCAGTATTTCATTTCCATCCATCTATTTCTATTTCATTCCAATCCACTGCAGCCTAAGGACCCTGAAAGGAAGGGAACAGGAGGGAAATTTAACCATCCCCTTGACCTTCCAAACCTGCACCTTTCTAAGAACATAAATCAAAATATCAATCAAGAAAAATCACTAATCTAAACTACCCAGTTAATTTTTCCTGTCTGCATGCCTACATATGAGGGTGGTGATGACCATTCACTCCAGGCTGTACCCGCTGAAGTGATGGCAAGGACAAGTTATATTATATAGATTAATCTGATTTATTACATCAGTGTAATATAACGCTTGAAACTTCATACTTGGAAATGTAGAAATACAAAACTGTAACCCACGAGTAGCCTAATTTCAGCCAAGAGGCAAAATGCCCTTAGTACAGAGTGTGAGGAGATGAGAACAGACTATGCTCTCCAGTAATGGATTTATCCAGGTTTTAGAGGTGCATTCTCAACATGAAACTCATGTCACTGATGTTGCAGCCTCATATAAGTCACGGGTCATCTAAAACCATTAGAAAGCTATAAATAGAAGTACTGTGGCCAGACTACCTCATGAACATATAATAAATTCAAATGTACCCATTACTTATTACATAACCATGTTTGTCTGTCATTGAATAGATCTGCAGGCCTGTGCTCAGCACCTATAATAATTTCTAATAATAACTAAATGATTTCCTTTTGACTGCAAAAGTAGGTTTTTTTCTATGTTATGTGCTCTGCTCTGCATTATAAAAGGGTGACTGAAAATTTTCTGATAGATTAGGAGTAATCTGGATGAGTAACTTAGACACTACTGACTAACATCATCTTCCACATTTTTTATCTTGCCTGGTCAAAAAGGCCTTGTGTCATTGGAAGTTCATGTTTTCTTCTAACAGTATGCCAGAAGAATCCATGTAACAGTGCAACAGAAGTGACTCCAACATAATGTCTGCCAATTTTCCCTATCAATATTTTCAAGTTTCTAAAATATTTCTTTGAAGAAAGGACCTGAAAGTTACCCAAAAATATCAATCCATGACAATATTTGAGCTTTTTGTGAGGTCACAGAGAAATAGTTCATTATTTGTTGAAATTTAGCTATGTCAGCTATGAGGAATAAAATTTGAGTTCTGATATTTTGGGTTGATCCTGCAGCAAAGCCCAAGAATATTGTTAACTAATGACATGACTTCCAAACGCACTGCTTTTATATCTTTTTAAAATATTTTTGAGATAACAGTTAATGGAAAAAAGTTTTTTTGTTTCTGTTTGTGTTTGGTATTTTTTTAATTGTTGTTGTTTTAGGGGTTTGTTTTTTGTTTTGATTTCTTTAAGATAGAAACATAACTCATACTAAGGGGAAAAAAAAAAAAATCACAGAATCACAGAATTGAAGGGGTTAGAAAGGATCTCTGGGGATCATCAACCCTTCTACTAAAGCAGGTTCCCTACAGTAGGTCGCATAGGAAAGTTTTCAGGTGAGTCTTGAATATCTCCAGAGATTACACAGAGTCTCTGGGTAGCTTTTTTAAAGTGTTTTGTAAGCCTCAAAGTAAAGAAGCCTTTCCTCATGCTTTCTATGTTTGTCACATCCCATCTGGTCCTTAACAGTGTTCCAGTTTGTCTGCTCCCCCTTGTTCAGAAGTTCCTTGTCTTTCTTGAACAGAGAAGCCCAGAACTGAACAAAGTACTCCAGATGTGGCTTCACCAGGGCAGAGCAGAGTGGGAGGATCACCTCCTTTGAGCTGCTTTGACCACTGATGTTCTTGGTCACAAGGACCTACTGCTGGCTCATAGCCAACGTGTAGCCCATCTGAACACCCAGGCCCTTGTCTACAGAGTTCCTCTTTATCCTCTCCATCTCCATCCTCTGTACTGATGTGTGTAGTTATTCCTCCCCAGGTGTAGGATTTTACCCTTGCCTTCATAAGGTTCCTCTCTACACAACTTCCCAGCCTGCCCAGGTCAAAGATGAGAGAAGGGAACACAGGTGGCAGTAGTAGAAGTAAGTTGGCTTTTTAACCAGCTCTGCTAATTGCAACGTCCACTATAAAGAATCTTTCAGCATTTTAAGCACTCAGAGAGCAGAGAAATCGAGTTTTGGGCCTTCTTTAGAAAACGTCAAATTCACTTCTTGCACACATCTATCAATTCTACAGAATTAAGTGGATCTCCTCCTTTCCACCACCATTGAAGATGAGTCATAAGGAAATAAGAATTATGAGATTTGTGTCCAGAAGAATAACAAGCAAGGAAAAGCCAACCTAGAAACTGGACACTCAGTTGTGAATAGTCCAACTTGGGCTCTATAGTCCAGTCCAAGGATTTTTTTCCTTTCCTAGAAAAGTCTTTGAAGTCAGGGGAAAAGGGTCTGCAGCAAAAGGAGAAAATGAAGGTAAGAAGCGTCCTTAGAAGTAACCCAGGAAATGGAAATAAGACACTATGTCACTCCCTCATCCCAGCTTAACTTCTTAACTTCTAAGTTACAGGGTTAGGCTGCTTCTCACTTGCCTCAATTCCAACCATGTCCCATTTAAGGTATCTTTCTGGACTTCACCCAGACTTGAAATGATGACAGGAATCACCATCAATGAGGACATCTGTTGAGCAGGGGAAGAGAAGGAGCATGACTGTTATAAAGCTCTGGAAGATATGTGAAGGTTACCAGGTCAGCATTTTCTCAGATATTTCTGGATTAAAAACTGGGCCCCAGCCAAGTAAAGTGAGACGATGGAGTGTCAAGGACAAGTTGCAAACTTGCTCTTCTCCTTTTGTCTCAGAGATAAAATTATTTTGGGGTGAATGTAAATAATATAAAACTTGCAAAGTAATTTCAGGTCCTAAGAAACAAAGGCAGCAGTGGTACAGTCTGATCTCAGAAAAAGTTCAGCAAAGGAGAGTAAAAGCTAGTGAAAAAGAGAAGTCATGAGAGGAAAGAAAAGAGATTAATGATGCAGGTGTGCTGGAGAACTGATTGGATAAAGGGACTAGGAAAGATCAGACCAGGTGAGGATCTACCTGTAAATTGGAACCTGGTAGTAATGGTAACCATGAGCTATGATAAGGAGTTCTAATCTAGAGAACTTGTGACAAGCCAGTGGAGAGAACAGAACCTTGTGAGGGAATGACAGTGAATAAAAGGAGAACAGGGTGGTGGAACAGCAAATACAAAGAGCTCAGACACTGAAACGGAGCAAGAATCCTAAGAAACAGAGATTGAGTCTGGATGGACCAAGTGAATAAAATGGGAATGGAGAATGTGGCAGAGGAAAATGAGGACAAGGAAGGTACAGGCTAAGGGCACTGAAGCAGTAATTCTCCACGCAGTAGGTTCAACACACTTGCCTCCAGAATATGAAATGAAACTTGATATGCTAAAGTCTGATGCTGATAAACTGTGAAACTCCAAAGATGTGCCATTTTCTATTGGTGTCTCTTCGTCCTCTTTGAGTTACTAGAAAGAAGTGAGCAACCTGCTATTGCTATCAAGTTTGTTGGCTAAAAGGAATACATTTCTGTATTTGATTTAAGGATCCTGTGCTACCTACTAATTTTGCATAAATCAATCTTATGTCCCAGAATTCAATTTATTTTAAAAATTCAAAAGCTTAAGTAATTACATGCAGACTCACTGCTCCCTGCCCTAAATCCTGCATGAAGAAAGTATCAGTATTAGAAAGCCAAACTTGCAGAAGCATAGCAATGCCTGTGCAACTGGAACTCAACCTTCTTGTGTACAATGTAATAAGAGTCATCAATATTTCAGTCTTTAATGGCTTGGTCTTTAATATTAATACTTCTAAATATTTCTTACCCCAATCATGCCTCATCACAAGTAGGATCAACTTGAGCTTTTCATTGAAGTCAGGATTACATAATAGGAAAGGGAAATGTATTAAAGAAATTCTCCAGATTAGGGCATGCAAAACAGGGACTTTGTAACTGCAATCGATACCAAACTCTATCAGCTGCTTTCTTGTGTGATATCAGCTTCCTAGAGAAGATTATGATTTTAGGGGCTTAATTTTCTTAGCCCTTCAGTTGTAATGTATATGATGACTAAGAAAAAGGGAAACAAAAAGCCCCTCCAGACACTAACAGAAAGCTTCTGAAAGAAAGGGATTCCCCTCTTGCTCCTCTGCCCTTCCCAGTCTTTTCAGACTTAATTCAAGAAATTTAAAAGCAATGTGCATGCATAGTTGTTCTGGCAACACTAATGTTTTGGGGGCGTTTTTGCTTTAAATCTCAGTTCAATCAAATCTCTTCCTGATGTTTCTGGATCTTGAAAATGAGCAGCTTAAGATCTACCTAGGAATAAAAAAAACTAAAGTTGCTAACAGTCCTTGTTAAGAACAGCTGTGAGGTATCTATACAGAAACTGGGCTTGTAATAACTGATCTTGCCTAACTGTCACTCCAGAAACAAACTTATTCTGAATAGCTCAATCATAGCCACAGCTTCATTCCCTGGAAGTAGTCACAGGCAAATAGCTGCAGCAAGTTGGCAGACACTGGTAGGAAATCACCATACCAAAGACTGCTGGCATAGCAGTTATTTACTGCATAGCTAGAATATTACAACAGCGCTATCTATTGCATTTTCTCCACAAGTGCCATAAACACAATTCTTCAGGAGAAATAAGATAGCTCACTGTCAGCAAGGTGCCTTGTTCCTTCTACTTAACAGAATTCCTGAGCATAACAAGAAAAGAATAATCAACACTTTACCTGCTTGTCTTTCTAATTTTCTTCTCTGTTCATTATTCAGACGATTATGTTGTGACGATGTCAAATCCATACTAAGCCAGAAGACCACCGACAGATAAGCACAAGCCTGCCTACCTGCTAAAAATGGACAAAATTGCTTTACATCCTCTTTCCCAATGCAACATCTAAACAACATGCAGAGTTTGCATTTGTTATGCTATGTTACTTCTATTAAGATATACAAATATGAATATCAGAGCATTTAAGAGTCAGAAGTAGCAAGCAAGTTTAGCTGTTCTACTCTCAAAGAGGGAAAAACATATATTGGGGAAAAAGAAAAAGAATGCTTTGATAAATGTTTAAAATTATTTTATGAGTGGTTAAAAATTAGAATCAATTCAAATCAAGATTAGAAGGCTTACGATTATTTGAATGGGAAGGTAGCAGCTAATTTCTGAAGGAAAAGAAAAATTGTACCAGCTCATGTAGTTTGATTTAGCCTGAAAAGGAAGGGAATAACCAATTAGCAAAAGTGGTACACAAGTAGGAAGCAGGACCTATTAACAATACACAAAACAGAACATGTATGTGCAAAAGTACAGATACAGAACATACACAGAAAAATGTAATAGGGAAAGCATGACTGGGCAAAATTTAAACAAGAAGCTGCAGCATAGTGAGATATAAAAAGAAAAAGAACAACTCAGTGTTCAGCATCTGCAGAAAATCAGACAACCAGTGTTCTCAAATTCTTGGTGCTTTATTATCAAAAAAGGATTCACTCATAGGATGAGCGAATAGCACAGAACAACCCTGTCTTGTTAGAAAGCATACATGATACACTGCTAATGTTATTCTACAAAAGGCAGAGGGGTTAAAACTTTTCACAGCAGTGCCAGCAGGCATTAACCTATTTCAAGGTGAAAAGTAAATTAGCTGGCTTTTATACAGTACTGCAGCACATTCAACAAAAATACTGCTACTGCATTTATGTTTATCTATGAACTTTGCAATAGTAACAACATTATGTGGGAAACAGAGAAGGTAGGCTGAGTAGAACTGAAAATCATTGGGTCTATATTCAGAACACTAAGGAGCATTAGAAACGAGTGTGAAGCAGTGTTACAGACATTCATCTGCTTATCATCTACTTCAGAAGTATGAAAAAGACAACTTTTCTTCCTATTTAGAAGATGAAAGTAATAGGTTGATTATCAGTTCTTCAGTATTCTGAAGTACAAGCAATGCTGTACTGTAAGATCAAAAATACTTCCAAAAATACTCAAAGTTATACAGAACTACACAACCCGTCTGACTTCAGCATATTAATTCAGTAGTACTACGAGCAGCTAAAAACACACAGGCGCAGAACAGTTCAGTTACTGACTTACAGAGTGAAAGGCAAATGATAGAAAATAATTGGAGTAAAACACACAGCAAGCCACACTGACTGTGTTTCAGTTAACATTACCTAAATCTCTGCTTCTATCTTCCCGATGACCACACTCAAATAAAAATCCTTGTTTGTCAAATTGTTTGCTTCACAGTTAGCTGCCAGGCAGTTCCAGATAGAAAAGTTCTGAAGTGTGCATTACATATTGCCAACATCCCCACACCAGCAGCAGTAATAAATCCTGACAGCTGCAGCAGGAACCCAAAGTAGGCACAAGGCACCATGGCTATTTTATGTAAGGGTACAGAAGATCTCATAACAGCAGTAGGTACCTAGTTAGGGGAGCTCCAACCAAAAAAGTAACCAATTTCCAAACAGTTTTGGCAGTAACAAGACAGTAGCAAGGTTGTTTTAGTAACTTCTCAATGTCACTAAAAAGTTAACTGAAGAACAAAAAGTAATTCTTCACAGACAAAGGCTTCTTCCAAGCACAAAGGGCCAATTTACAAAACAGGAGTGCATTTTGTGCATATGCAAACACATACTCATAAAAAAATGCAGAGCAGTGGCAAGGTACAAAACCTACAGTTGAATATTCAATTCAGACAGCTGTCAATGTACATAAATATAAATGCATCACTCCTCTTTTCACATAAACAAGATGTAGATTTCCTCAACAGACTGCAATCACTTAGTGCCACTGGAACAAATGGAGGTAACTTTAAGACCTCTCTTTGTTTAGAATACAATCTATTCAGGATAGAAACTACCTCTTCACCATTTTTCAGCCAAATTTTAACCTCAGCTGATGTTTCTAGGTGACACAGAATAATAATTTATTATACAAGAATACTGAACAAGCCTTACAGAAATCAAAGATGTATCTTATCATATTTCTACATCTAGAAGCTATTAAACAAAACAAGGCCTAATCTACCCTTTAAAGTTAAAAACAGCAACACTCAAGTAATCTGCAAAATAAAGCTGTAAACTGGCTGTCCAGACTGAGAATATACTTATAATGTGACAATCTTTTACGAAAGTACTATTTTTCACCCAGAAAAAGGGATATTTTTCACCCAGAAAACACTCCATTATACATTAGACTCTTTGCAGCTAGAAGGACCAAATCCTACCTCAACCCTTTATCCTTCCAGGAAAGGCTGATGTTTCACAACTTAGCTGCATGGACTTTGACTTTCAGGCAATGAAACAGTGAGAAATTCCAAAAAAATAATAACTGAGAGATCAAAAAGCAAAAAGGACTAAAATGTAATGTAAGAACATGTGTGTGATTGGCAGCAATCGCTGTTTTTCCATCTTAACCCACAGGAGCTATAAATAAGTTCTATAATCAGAGAGAGAGGTGAGAGAAAAAGAAAGTCTGGATCTAGCAAATTATTTATCTCATAAAATAACCTGACAAGAGTGCTGCAACCAGTGGATCTGTATGCTGGGTTGTTGAAGCACTAGCAAGAAAGTAGTTTTCCAGGAAGAATCCCCTGCACTTTTAATAAAAACCTTCCCAAGGATGAAACTAAAGCAAGGGTGGGCAGGGAAGTGCTGGGTAGGGGGTGGGGTGCAGGCTGACAGAATCCTGCTGTGTGGAGATATAAGGATAAAGAAAAAAATCTGGCTTGAATTAAGACAGTTTCAGAAGGAGCAACTGATATGCCAAAGGGTTTGGGCAGGAAAGCAAATGGAAATATTTCACACATGCCCACATAAATGCTCTAAGGCAAAATCTAAGGAACTTGTAAGAAAAACTCCACACTACTTCCGAGCATCACTTTTGGAAACAAATGCTGTCTGTGGCTATGCTCAAATAATTCCACGTCTAACATGTAATGTACATTCAGAACATACAATCTATAATTGCTTATCAAATTTACTCTACTGTACTATTTTCCATGACACATTACGAGGGCTAATGCTGTACCATAAATGATTCAGTAATCAACATTATACTTTGAGCAGGCATGATGCAGAGAATAAGGGAACCAAGACTAATAGAACTTATTTTCTTTCTCTCAATACCTAGAAATAAATTAAGTCATTAAGGTTTTATATAAGTGTGAAGTTCAGGGTGCAACAGGTTGCATGTGATTTTAATAGCTATTTTATCTCAGTGAGAATGCAAATGAATAGATACAATTTTGGGCCTAAACTTATAGTTACATTAAGTCCAGCATACAGCTTTTATGAGCAATTGTGATGAAAGTATTTTTTTTTTTTTTTCTTGTTTAAAATCCCTATTTAAATTCTGGACACAAAGACAATTCATGACAAATGCATGATTAATAAGGATAATTTATTGTTTTTATACCAAAAAATCATTAGAATACTTACAGAGTTTAAGTAATAAAGCCCATTTACATAGTCTGCTTTTTTATGACTTCTTTCCTTTAAGACCTCCTCTTCTTTCTTCCTCCCTTACTTCGTGATTTTTGTTTTCTGCCCTTAAATACAGGTTTGGCAGTCACCAAAATCATGTTTCCCAGTTCTTCATCCTCACCACTTGAGCTACTGTAGCTCTTTTTGTGGTCTGCTGTCTCTGTTTTAGAGGCAATTTTCCTTCTTTTGTCTAAATCTCTGTTATCTGATTCTTCTGCTGAGGAGTCACTAGAAGTTTCTGAAAGATGCAAACTCCCAACAAAACCACCTCCAAATAAATGCACTTTTCTGGAATCTGAATGCCTTCTTTTCTTTCCACTTTGAATTTCTGTCACTATGCCTTGATGATCTGTGCAGCCTGAAGCACTTTCCCCTTTCTTTTCCTTGTGCTGACTAAGTTCTTCCTCCATAGCAGCAGTAGCCTCTGAAACTTCATCATTTTCCTTTCTCTTTAGACAACTCACAGCTCTGCGTAGTCTCTGACTTTTAATAGCTTGTTTTTCATGTTGTTCTAATCTGAAGAACGAATCAATTCGAAGCTGAGTCTATTAAAAAACAAAACAACAACAACAACAAAAAAAAAACAGTGAAACAGCTTTGGATGCTTTTGTGACAGAAAGTTAGTTGTTACCTAAGTTATAGTACAAAGCATTATAAATTAAAGCAGGATAAAGAATAACGAAATCAGAATGCACACAGATAATAAGATGCATGATGCCAGTAATAACTGCACTTTATTATAAATTATGCAATGAGAACTTTGATAGAAACTAAATAATGGGCAAAATGAGTGAACTTTTTTATTAACATTGCGCGTGTGATTTTACGTAGAAACACAGGTCTACTTTAAAACCTGATACACAGAATCTCTGTTGTGTTCTTCAGTATATCCTTGCAAAAAAATGCTAAGCTGCAAGCTGTTAAAACAACAGAATGTTTATTAAGGGGATACTGTTAGTGCACTTTGTATCTGCATACGCTACTGCAACAAAATGCTGTCATTTGAATGGAATTGTATCACGTGCTGCTACAGATTTGAGAGTAGAACTAGAAGTAGTCAAACACAACGAATCTGTTAACTACAACTAGGCTTGCTGTACAAACTATGCTAGTCCTCTATATTATCCATAAAATTGGCTAAGAGACAGATGCTTCCACAGGTTGCTCTAGTCAGTCTGAAAGTATATGGATTTAACCTGTTTTGTGGTACTTTTCACTCCTTTGACTGACAGAGAGAGCCTAGAAGATTGGTGCAGACTACATCTCACTGATAGCAGAAGAATGGTTTTTGCAAACCATTTTACCACTGACTTTCAGAGTATCACAGCATACATCACTATTCACTTTTAAGTTGTATGAAAGTTCACAGCACATTTATTGGTGAAGAACAATAATATTATAAAGGGGCTCTTGATAAATAGTTCATTCCGCACTTCTCCTTACAGAATGAGTGTGGTACTCAATGGTCCATTTCACTTAAAATCTTCACTAAAATCTTAGGGGCATTCTTATGAATCATTTTAAGATTCAATATAGTGTCTTTTAAAAGCACTAAATGTACTGGAGGTACTTGTAGTTCTATTTATGTCCTGCAACCTGGATTTGAGGTAGCTACGTGATAAAGCTTTATATCAACTATGAAAATTGCAACCACTGAAATTAAGTAGAATGCCTCACAATAAACCCGATCATAAAGAAATAAAATCTAGAGAATCATTTAAAGATTTTAAAATATAAATATACATTAAGATAAAAAATGCCCAAATCCCAGTTTCTGAGAAACATATAGCCTTGCTGTTCATTTCAAAATGATTCTTACATTTTTCCAGCTAGCCTTAAGGTATACATTGCTCTGTACCATACCTGTTGCAAGTTCAGCTGTTTTATCACAGGCAAAAGGATGTCATCTGTCTTTGCCCTAGTCCAGCCAAAGTGATCTTTACAGAATATGCAGAAAGCTAAGGAACATTACAAAATGGATATTGCTACTATTTTGTAAACACAAAAATAGAAATTCTGCAAATAACCAATGCCTAGAGGAAAGTTTCTTCAGAGATTTTACTACTACAAAAACAGAAAATATCTTAAGTTATTAAAGCCAAGTTATGTGGATGATTCTAATGTTACGCTATGTATTTCCATCATGACATTACATCTCTGTTAGGTACAGAACTCTAACATCAGCATTTCCAAAAGCATGTCTTCATAAAGAAAAAGTGCATTTTGGCTATGCAGCATTGTCATAAAATACAACATCTATAAATAAACCTTATTTTTACATTTACAAATACTGGAATTTTGGTTTACTGTTTAAAATACTATTAACTCTGTATGCGTTGCCATCACTTTTCAACAATTCACTGCAGCTCAAGCTACAACTGTTGCAAGAAATGGCATTATTGCAAAGAATGTGGTGAATAAACAGGTTTTGAAATCTACTTGTGACAGTACAGTTATAGAATTATAATGTCACAAGTTAGTCAGTTCAGCAGTAAGACCCTGCATTCAGAGTGAAGCAGAAGGGCAGCACAACCTCAAATGCCATGTACATATATCTACATTTTTTTTCAATTCCAGAGTTAGTATCAGTGTAGGAAAGTACATTTAGATGTGGGTAAGGAGGTCCGTCACACCAGTGAGATGCTAAGAATTTGACACTCTGTTACTGAGGCACTAGCTAGCCATACGAACTTTAAGCTGAGTACTTTTAGCTACCAATTCCTGTCTTATAGTAAAAGGATATTCTCTAATCTGCTCTACATCAGGCTTTCCCCATGTGAATGAGCCCCTTGTCTCATCCACCACAGGCTTCAGGTATGCTTCTGCCACTGCTGGATTTGGGAAACCTGAAGAAAGCTGCAGCTCCCGCAATTTCTTCTTGACTTTGGTATCACGTGGATTAGGTCTGATTTTCTTATTCTTCTGAGCCTCGTTCCACCACTCACTGAAAAACAGAGAAAAGCATTCACTTGTTCCCATAAAATGTAACTTGAATTGCCAACAGCCACTTTGCTATCTTAAATGGCTTTAATCAGACTCCCTACTTCAGCTAGTGCAAGATATGAGATAGGAGATTTTCAAATGATAATGGCCAAAAGGGCATAAGAATCTGAAAGTAAAAAGGACAAAACATACAGTAAACACAGCCATTGTCAGCCAAGGTAGCAAACATTACCTGGATTCCACTTTAGAAGCCAAAGGGATGTAACAATCATTCTTTGGAGTTTTTTTGGTATAAAAACCAGAGATCAAAAAAACAAACATACAAACTTCTAACCACTCTGAGCAACCTGGTTTAGTGGCATCACAGATTCATAGAATGGCCTGGGTTGAAAAGGACCTCAAAGATCATTTAGTTTCAACCCCCCTGCTATGTGCAAGGCCACCAACGACTAGACCAGACTGCCCAGAGCCACATCCAGCTTGGCCCTGAATGTCTCCAGGGATGGAAGGTGCTTCTGTGTACAGCGGGAGAGTTGGATCTGGATTATCTTTAAGGTCCCTTCCAACAAAAAGATTCTACGAGTCTGTGATTCTCACAACGGCCAATACAATTGGCTTGGCACACTTCAAACTTTGTTCTTCCCCACAGCCTACCTGTCTGTCTCTTTCCAGGTCATCAAGTCTCTTTTCTCTATGGGCAAGCTACAGCACCTTCTCACATGCTCAGGGAGAAACAACCTTGACTCCACTAGGGATCCAGCTCTGCAATGAACTTGGAGGCAGTTGCACAGTTTTAAAGCTGTTCTATTGTCTTCACTAGTCTTGCTGTAATTGCTGCATCAACACATCATTTTGATTACCTGCCATTTAAGTACCGATACAACGGATTACATATTTCATAGTTCAGTTAGCCTCCTTGATGATGGTCACACATTTTGTTGTATACTTAAGAGCAGAAAGTATATTGACCAACATTGACATTACAGAAAAATATGAAAGAAAAACAATAAAATCCAGCAAAGCATACGCGAATTTTAGAAGAGGTTCCAATCCATGTCCAGGAAATTCATTTAAGATCTCCATCGCAGTTACAAAGCCAACGTTTGGGATTCCCTCAGTGTAGTCACTTCCAAGCAAGTATGCCAAATTAATTAACTTGTTTCGATCTAACCCTGTGAAAGAAAGAGTGTAAACCAAATACAGCCACCGCATTCCTCATATGTTCCCTTACAAATTAAAAATACTGTATTTTCTGAAAGACAAAGAAAGAAAGAAATATACATGCATTAACATCCAGATTTGCTAAATTAATTCTAGAGCAGTGTTAATAAACTACTGCTACCTCAAGCACCATAGCTGTATTTGCTAATTAAGCAGTTTGCTATTTTGCTCTTCTCAAGTAAACTACAGTGGCATATCTAAGATAAGTAACAATAAGTAAAATAATAGCCTTCTCTTTGTTGAGAAAAGAAAACAGAGATACATTTTCCACTGCACGCTGAATTTCCCATACTGAAGGTATTAAAATATGATTTCAAAGATCATAGAGTGATCTTTCAAAGATCAGAGTGACTTTAAAAAGAGTTATAGGTTTTTTTTTTTATTATTATTATTGTCTCGTTTATGCAGAACTAGTTCATATTTTCTCCAATATACTACATAACATTAAAGCTCAACAGTTCATCATAATTAGCAAGAATCTGATTAGGAAGTTCAAGAACAAAAAGCTGTCAATATTAACTGAAAAACTTTCTTACATAGTACGTAGGATTCCTTTTTAATCGTTATGTGTCAACATATCCAAAATAAATTTCCATCTGGCAATAAAAACAGC